AAACTGCAAACTTGTAAATTCAAGCAACAAACAGGTCTTTTCCCCCAACTAGGGGGCTTATTATATATGAACCCATGCAAAACTAGTTCCCCCGAGTATTATCCTGGTTATTCCCGGGACTGAGAGAGGTTGGGTCAGCCGCCCCATTCGGCGGATGGTTACTCCGCCGAGGCCGAGAGCCCCGTGGTCTCGATGCCTCCCCCGGCGTCCCGGGGCACCCCGTGACAAGGCCTGGCGAAGGTAACTGGTCAACTTTCGTGACCACCTGACCAAGCCCTGGCACAGAGGAAAAAACAACCCCGTTATGTGTGCAAGGGTTTACTTAACATAATCCTATTACTCAACTTAAATTATCTGGGTGGTTGTAGAAAGAAAAGTACATGTCTACAACTAACCAATGTTCCAATATATAGGACCTCGTCAGGGCAATTATGTTAAGCCCAAGCCAACCAGCCAATTTTTCTCCTTTTTGGTCCTAGTTTGGAAGGGTATCGATATATCAAGCCCAAACCAAACAACCAATATTCAACTGAGTAGGACCCATTCGGGGAGATGATGTGTCAAGCCCAAGCCAACCAATAAAAATTCTTCCCTATTGGTCCTAGGATAGAATGTAGTTATGTATCAAGCCCAAACCAACCAACCAATATTCAGCCAACTATACGGACCACATTCGGGGAAATGATGTGTCAAGCCCAAACCAACCAACCAATATCATTCCCTCTTGGTCCTAAGATAGAATGTAGTTATGTATCAAGCCCAAACCAACCAACCAATATTCAGCCAACTAAGGACCGCATTCGGGGAAATGATGTGTCAAGCCCAAACCAACCAACCTGTATTCTTCCCTCTTGGTCCTAATATAGCATGTAGTTGACTATTAAGCCCAAACCAACCAACCAATATTCAACCAACTACAGCCCCATTCGGGGAAATGATGTGTCAAGCCCCAAACCAACCAACCATTATTCTTTCCGTTTGGTCCTAGTGTGGAAATGCATTCATGTACGTGTATCAAGCCCAAACCAACCAACCAATGTTCCACTAACTGGGACCCATTCGGAAAATGTGTCAAGCCCAAACCAACCAACCATTATTTATACCAAGTAAAATTACGTGTCAAGCCCAAACCAACTGATATCCAATAACCTTCACGTGCGCTTGGCTATTGTAAGTTAACTACTTGTATTCCCGTCAACCTCCAACCTTGGGGAGGGCGGGTTGGGTGAGCGTACGAACAGGGAGAAACTTCTTGGAACAAGTGGCCGATTGTTTACTAGCGGTTGTTCACCGCTTGTCACGTGACAATTGTGGGCTAGCCAGCGCACGTTCCCACGCTGAGCGCTGGAGATCACAAAGGGTGCGCATTCCCAAATTGCTACATTTCCAGACAGGCGCGCCTGCGCCTTTCCCATTGTATACAATTCCAGACGTACTCACATTGATACAATTTTGGTTCGGTTGTTTTGGTTTTATCGTGGCTTGTACAAATAGGTTTATGCCTTTACTTGCACAAACATCTTTTGTGGAAAGAGGGCCAGGTTTTGATTTATGAACAGACTAAACAACAAGATTGCCGCGACAAGTGACATTGCTTATCGGCATTACCGTGAGCTCGCATGTATTCTAGGAAATTACGGTACCATCCACGAAGTGTTTGTAACAAATCTGTGATGCAGGAGAATATTTATATCAGCATCATACTGGGAAGTGTATGATAACATTCCGCAAACGTTCGACATCTTTAAGGGAGTACCGGTAACAATAATGGTGGCCACGAACATGAACGCACGCGAAGCATTTGCGAATGGCAAATCAAATCTCGCATAATCTCTTGCATTACACAGTGTTTCTCGCACAATCTCACGAAGCACGTCCCGGCTACAGCGACCCCCCTAAGTTTTTGGCACAGCGTTCGCGATGAGATATTCGCGCTAAATCGATTGCGAAAAGTGCCCGTATTTTTTAGCGGTACGGTAGTTGCAGATGTGAACGTACATACAGAGCTGCATCGATATATGAAAACACTTGGGCCCATACGTGCTAGTGCAGCAGTGACTGGTTCCCGTCGTGCCGTGCACTAAGGGCCAAAGAAGGCATGATGGAAATGCGGTAACCAGTGAATGCAATAGTCGCACACGGTGCATGCACACTGCAGTACAGTGTTTTGCATGCAGGCCGGACGGAATAGACATCGTAAAAATGCCAAGAAAACATCGATGGTGAAAGACGATCTTTGCAAGCTTATATTCACAGAACTTGGTCTTTCCTGTCTGTGCTTGTATTTCCCGTGTTCATGAATTTATTTTGAGGAAGTACTACTGGTATATGAAGTGAAACGATGCAGCGTGTTTCACCAAAATCTCATACTGTAAAACGAAGCTCATTGCCGGCCCATTGCCAGTCCACAACACACAGTGCATCATCGCACGCTTGTACCAAGTGAAGTTCAGACATTGTTAGCCAGTTTCTCGTCGTGTCTTGCATTTTGCATATGGTATAATTGACCTGCATTTTCCATTATTTTTAAGATTATTGACGGCAAATATTTTCGATAACACTTAAGGCAAGTTTTTGTCATATTTGAGGCCCTTTATATATAGCTTTCGTAGTGCAATGGAAATAGTTCAGGCTGAAAATTTTCATATAATTTTAACGAATCTGAAAACAAATATTCAGTTGCTGTTAATATCATGTTTGTCTGCCGTTTATTAACTCCATTTTCCAAGTATAATTAAGTGATGAACCAACTGACAACTGTATTAAAAAATGAAAGCGTAAGCAGAAGTCAAACCTTTTATTAATCTCCATTTAGTTACTTTTTTTATATAAATTTTACCTTGTCTTACAATTACAAAAACAAAAGAAGTTACGCCAACTGAGCATATTATTATGCAAAAACTAATAAAAATGCAGCCCTTGAATAAATCCTGATATTCAAAACAAAACAAAAACAATGTTTACTGTCGTTTCACCGCTGTTTATCCATGGATTTTAAAATCCATTTGCTCTCCTCAAGGATTTGAGGAGAGCGATTTATAGCTCGGCTCCTGGATTTTCTTCAAATGAAGGACTCCTCTGCCCGCTAGCAAGAGAATTAGACTAATTTTCCAGGGGAACTAGCCAAGTGCACACACGAAATGGGTGACTCGTAAATAGCATTTTGTTGTATTCCTGTCACATACATCTAGTGCAAAATGTTGTTTTTTCTTATTTATGACACAGGTCTTATAAAATAGTTCAGGTCCAGTAAGATTCTTCAGTTACTAGACCTGCTGTCTAGTCATGGGCGTCGCGAGGGGGGCAAGGGGGGGCACTTGCCCCCCCCCCCGGAAAAGCAAAAACAAACAAACAAAACAACAACAAAAAGGAAGAAAGATAAAAGAAAAGAAAGAGGCGCGAAGACAAAGTGGTGTCAATTTAATGAGTTGGGGGGGGCGCAAAATGTCCCTGCCTCCCTCTAAAACTGATAAATCGAGAATGTGTTGAGAAATACAAGCATTTTTTGGCCAAAATTTTTTTTTGCAACCCTCTAGAAAAAATCCTGGCGACGCCCATGTGGCTAGTACTTATTTTTCATGAAATTTGAGCCCTGATCCGATACCCGGTAGGTACAATGCCAATGCACATAGGTTATGGCTATGAAATGCCATAAAAAAAGCTGGTACTAAGCCCTCTTCACACGACAACGAAAAAACTCACAATGTTTGAGACTCATTTTACGAGCGCAGATTGTTTATCTTATCATTACACGCTCCACTTCATTCGCAAGGCTTCACATGAAAACGAACACAACGCCGAGATCGATCTTTGAGAGGACATTGTGCAATTCGCTGATTGCCACTACACTATGGGACTTGCAATGATAAATGGTACTAGTACCAGTGCAGTAGCGCGAATTTTTATCCTTGCAGTTGCAAATATTAAACCGACTGTAGAAACACAGAAAAATTGGGGATGAAGTGGCCCACAAAGAGCAATGCCAAGGAGATTTCGACAGAAAAGAAGACGAAATGCATGGCAATACCATCTCCAGGAAGGAAGCCTATTATTCTCGCTGAATTTTCAGCTGTCTCTTTTGTTTGCGGTGATGTAATGAGCTTAAGAAATGTATCAGAACAGCATGCACTGTCACATACTGGCGATTGTGTAGTGTAGGGCCCCTGTTTTGTTTCGATCAAATTAGAATCAAAAATGTTTTTTATTCCTAAAAAATGACGCTGCCAACCTAAAGCAGATATCTTTGAATGTAATTACACTTTTTTTGGTAATTTTTGAATGAACAGTTTCTTGGAATAGAAATTAAGATTTTCCTATGTGGTTTATGGGCCGGTTGGTGCCGTGTAGCAGAACCTGCGTGCTCAGGTACATCGCGCAGTAATTCCCATTTTTATTTTCGTGGTGCATTTTGTCCTTGTCATCGTCAATTCCCCTCCAAATGGCCCTAAAAAATTCAAAACCCTGCGCTTTATCTATGACATACATGCATGTTCTTAATGTCGCCAACTAGTTTGGTTGGTCAAATAATTCAAAAGTGGATTTTGGAAGCGGGCCCGTACATACATGATCGCCTGCATACTGAACTTTGCCATCCTTATTTGCACACGTATACAGCATGCATGCACGTGTGTGCAGAGGTACGTCACCACGCATGCGCACTGGACAGCCTTTCGCAAGGGACATTGTTCAATTGACAAGGGTTTGGTTGCACATGAAGGATTAGCATGCATTCCGTGCGAAAACTTCCGCTAGTGGAAGATTTGTCGCAGGTCGGGACCTCCACCAAAATATCTCAATATTTGAGAGGAATTCACAAGGAAAGCTGGTCACTCTCAAGCATTGATTTTCCTTCACACGATGGCCATTTTGTAATATTTCTCAATCATTGCAAAAATCTCTCCATCATTGCAGTTTTTTGGCATCGTGTGAAGAGGGCTATAAACTTCCCACGCTGAAGAGGCTACAGTGGGTGAAGATACTTGCCTCAGTCAACTGATTACCTGTGTTAATTCCTCTTCAGCTAGTCTTAGTTTCTCTTCCAGCTCAACTTGCGTGTTGCAGCCTCCATCCTTCACGTCTGCTTTCCTTGCTTCTCTCAACCTCTCTGCCTCCTGCATGGCCCTTGATATCTGATCAGTCAGCTTAGCTTCTATGGTCTGCTTCTCCCTGATTGCAGTTTGATGCTCTTCCTGGGCTTTGTCTAATCTGTGATTGGAAAAAAGGGGAGATTTTTCATTTTCCTTTTTTTGTGGTCACATCTTATGTATATTATTCACTCCACGTGAATAATAATTACATGTAGTCCAGTTCTTATAGTCCTTGGGACAAAAGGCCGAAACGCTTTAGTTTTCAAGATAGGCGATCTGGTCCACCGAATTTTATAAAACTTCCCAGACATGTAGACTATGATGTACCATATCTAAAAAACTTTGTTCCCCGATCCACAGTTTGTTTGGGAATGAGAAAATCTGTAAAATCTCTGAAAATTCTGCATGAGAAAAAACATTAGAAACAGCGCCCTCTATTGACACAGTCAAAAACCTTTTCATACGCAATGATTCACTTGTACCCCCCCCCCCCCGCTCTGCAAACAGGACAAAACGCAAGGAGTTTTGCCAGATAATACTTCTTTCAAGCTTCATATTACAAGCATATTCTATATTTTTGTCATTATTTCTCATCAGGATGTCAAAACCTTTTCATTACAGTTTGTCCAACTTGAAAAAATCAAGTTTTAAGATCAAATGTTATTAACTTCATTAAAATATAATGAAACCGTACTCCAGATGAGAATCTCATGGTTCATCACATCTTTCAGTTCGTCTTAAAGAAAAGTTGTCATAAGTGAACTTTTTTTTTAAACAGACTCCCCCTCCCCCCTTCAATAGCAGTGACGCAGAATTTGAATAAGGGATTGTATCAGATAAGTTGAAGCGTTCTCATACCTACATGTACTTTAGGTTGATTATATTTTTGATTACACTTTTATTAAAAAAAAAAAAAAGACTCACAAAATAAAGACGGCAATAACTGCAAATACTGTTTTGGTAAGTTTTCTATATTCCAGGCGCAATGTGTTCTAAATAATCACCAAAAGAAATAACAATTTATTTAATGTAATATAGTTTTATTTCATTTATTTATTTATGAAGTTACTCGTTTATTTTCACGTGACAAAACGAGCTAAGCACCTGTATACATCACAGGCCGATTACATAATTGTTGTAACATGCATCGAAAGTCTCATCAAATTGAAGGACTTTCTGTTTGCAAACTTTTGTAAGAAGAGAAAAATAATTTATATTCCCCTATTTGGAAGTTTTGAGTGTCAGCATTACAACTGCAATTTGTTTCAGCTGAAACCGTCTAACCATTTTCATTATTCTGAATATTGTTTTAAGAACTGATTCAAGTTTTGTTGTTGCTCCATCCATTCCGTGAAAACCACCAATAACCCTCAATGGCCCACCTGCTTCCTTTTTGAGGCTGCATCAAATTTGTATTACTTTCTTTTTTTATTTCGGGCAAAACATGTTTCAGAAGTTCAGATGCTCCACCAGATGGTACGCGTGTACTTCGATTATTATTGAAAACATGTTACCTTAAAATAAGAGATAAAATGTAACAAAAATATTTTGGCATCCCGGAGAGAAAGAACAAAAAAATCTAGAATATAATATGAAAGAAGTATCATCTGGCAACTGGCAAGCACTCATTGGCCGAGTTCGGGCGGGTCTTTTTCTTGACACGGGTATATCATGTTTGCAAACCCTGATGGGTTGGTGGTGTGAGATCCTGTTCGGAGTGCAGTCTTCGTGGGTCGTGTTCCCGCTGTTCGCGTGTGAGAACAATGAAAATACTCGCGTCAAAAACAGACCGCCGGAACTCGCCCCCGGACGGCCATTGCGTGAGAAAAGGTTTCTGATCAAGTGCTGTGATTATTTGGTGTTTGCAGTCTGATCCTTTATCTTTCCAGTCACAGTCCTTAAAATAAAGGGGTAACTGTGACATGTGTTATAGGAGTAAACAACTTGCAGTCAATAGGAAGTCTCGCCCATTGGTCAGCACGGCTGTGAGATAACAAAAGTGCCAGTTAAATAACAGGTGTTTGTTTTGAAGGTGAAAGTTACAAATATTCGGTGCAGCATGAGGGATTTGCTACGTAGTGAAATATCACATGAATGGGTCGGTAATTTGTAGCGTGCGTAGGGAGTGAGCGGCTTGCAGTTTGTGCGACGCTCCCCCATGCAAAGCCTCACTTGTTGGGTACAGCGTTGGTGACTTTCAGTCTATGTAAAACCTCATGCCAGCAGTTGTATAGTATGAGCATATAGTGAGTAACTTGCAGCCTGTGCAAAGCCTCACTGGCTCAGTACCGCGTGAGCTACTTGCAGCCTGTGCAGAGTCTCATGTTAAATAATGGTCCTATAAACGTAGAACGCAAGTAGCTTGCAACCAGTGCCAAGCCTCGCTAGTTGGGTACGGTGTGAGTTACTTGCAACCTGAAGCCTAAGGGACACAGCCTTGTAAATGCCGTGTATGGAAGTGAGCGACCAGCAACCTGTGCTGTGCGAAGGCCTCGCTCCCAAATTTACCAATAACGACCAAGAAATCACGAACCAACCAAATGTTACAAAAACTCACTCAAATTGTAGAGACAACAAACAGAAGACAAAATAGGAGAATAGAAACCATGAACTTTGCTAGAATGAATGGCTGGAGAAAGTATAAACTAGACATGTGTTTGTGGACAAACACAGAGCTGTTTCTACCGTTTTAGCAACCACTGCCATGTAGGAGTTTCATCCAATTCGAATGCACATGTACATGTGTATTCTTCTAAAAATATGGGGCTGTGTAGAAGTGAATTTGGTGTTATAAATTAGCAAAATGTACATGACGTCAAATCACGACATAACTTGTTTAGAAACAATACAAGCTAAAGGTCTCGGTCTGTGCCTACTCCTTGATGTATTTTATGTAATTTTTTGTAATAAGAAGAAAATATTAAAAATTTTAAATTAATAAAAAATAAGATGATCACGTCATGACAACGCCACTTCAGATTTTGAACACTTTTATCAATATCTACCTACCCAGCAAGTTTCATAACGATTGGACATACCCTTATATGTGTTAAAAAAAATACGTATTTTTATGACGTCATGATGACACGTCACACATTTTTCGAAATTTTTGTTAAATTTTTGTTTGTGAAACCTATTACAAAAAGAATTTATCATGTTCCGTAGATGAAATATGACTAAAAGGTCAAAAAATTCAATAATTCGTATAAAATCACACGATGACATCACATGATGACGTCACTGCAATTTTTGTCATTAACACGTTCTGGAATACATGCAGATTGAGTTTGAACCAATTCGGACTTCCGGTTCTGTAATATAGGGCCTTAAAATGATTGTTCTCAACCTGTTGAACAGTTTGCATTAATATAAATACATGTATGATGAACTTGTCGAACTTTTAAACAGTTTTTAACCTGAATAAATTGGCTATTAAAAGTCAATCAATCAGACGACAAGGATTTTTTTCAGGTGTTATATAAAACAAATAATGAATGTTTCACGTTTGTGCAGCATGCCTCTAAATCTATTAGAGTTAAGCAGTTTGTTACCAAACTTAATCAACAGATCCTCCCTCCTAGATTTAAGGGTAGGCAACCAAGCACGCTGAGTACTGCGGTGTAGGAGTCATAGCCATGGCCAAGAATGATACGCACTGCACGTTTCTGTATGCTTTCAATGGCATCACTTTGGCGGACACTTATAGAACTGTGCCAAACCTGACTTGCATACTCTAAAATGGGCCTTATGTAGCCAGTGTACACAGCAACCATGTGAGAGGTGGGTATATTAGCCTTCTTAAAAATACCCAAAGTGAACAACCTACGGGATGCCCGAGAGACAATATCTGTGGTATGGATGTCCCATTTCAGGTCGTTTTGTACAGTAACACCAAGTAACTTCATAGAGGTCACAGAATTCAATGCTGTGGCATCAAGTTTAAATAAGGACCGAGGAGTGTCACGCTTCAAAAAACTTACTGTCATGGTCTGACATTTAGATGGCTTTGGAAGTACATTGTTGTCAAACACCAACTTGACAAGTCATCAAGATAGCTTTGCATGTGAGATGGTGGGCCATGCTTCACTACTTCACCTATAGTTAAATCATCAGCATATTTCCAATGTCTGCAGTTTTCAGCTGATGCGTCATTAACCAAAATCAGAAACAGAATTGGACCCAATTTGGTGCCTTGGGGAACCCCACAAGAAATACCCTGAGTCTTTGACAAGTGGCTGCAGAGCTTAGTATTATGGGTACGCTCAGTGAGGAAACTGCAGACAGTGGGAATGATAGAATGTCTAACTCCAAGTTCAATGAGCTTTCGAATGACAATGTTATGGTTCACCCGATCAAAAGCCTTCGTAAAATCTATGGCACAAAGGTTAGCAAAATGACCAGGCTTATCAAGTCCCTCATGCACAAAGTTAAGCATATCCACGAGATAGTGCACGGTGGAGCTGCCTTTGACGTTGCCATACTGATTGACATCCAGCTTTGAAGAAATGTCTTCGCGGATCCTCTTTGCAGGAAAGGTTTTAAACACTCTTGCGGAAATCGGTGTGAGGGAGATTGTCCGAAGCTGGTCAAGGCTCGATATTCCTCTCCTTAGGAATGGGCACAATAGTTGCTGTCTTCCAAATGGAGGGAAATTTTCCTTCAAGTAGGCAGGCGTTGTACAAGTCGGTGAGAGGGTCAGCCAATTCATGAGAAAACTCACTGATCAGTCGTACTGGCAAATCGGAGGGGTGGCCAGCTTTGGTTGGCTTCAGACCCTTGAGGGTCTTAAGCACTTGGCCCCTGTATATAAGAGGGGGTGGTGACTTGGCTGGTAGATATGAAGGTAACCCTTGGAGATCAAGGGCAGGCAACTGATTGCATATATCAGCGAAGTGGCCATTGATGGTTTCAGAAGTAGTTTCTGGGTCGACGTCAGCACCAGGGATCATGGTACGTTTGGATTTAATCTGGCAAAGTTTTTGAATTTGTCTGTGCCATTTGCCAGGCTGGCTACACTTCAGATGTTGGACAGTGTGCTTGTGTAACTCACACTTGGCAATCCTAATTTCCCACCGTATCTTGCTACGAAGTGAACTCCATTTGTCCATGTTAACACTTCTGAAGGCGTGTTGTCGTTCCAAGCGATGTGTCATCCAAGGTTTGTCATTGTTCTGCAGTGCAGAGGTTACCAGGGGAAAATGGAAATTGTAGGCATCTGTAACTGTAGTCAAGAAGTTTCCCACTGAGTCAGTACATGAGTCAGTGAGTGCACTGCTCCAGTCGTAGTCGACTATCCACTGCCCAAACGAACGCACCGAAGAATCTCTGTAGGGTCGAAAGCTTGTTGCGCCCTTTTTTTGTTGAGGGAGTTCACAGACCGCCGAGAGGAGGACACAGCAATGATCACTAGCTCCCAGAGGTGGTGAAAATATTGTCCAGGGTAGCATTACCACCAATAGGGAATGAAATCAGTTGTGTCATACTCAAGTTAGCCTCGATAGGGTCACATTTCAAGCCATTGAAGTCACCGAAGAGGGTGATTATTGCTGACATGTCTGACGCACGAATGTGATCTACAGTGTTGCATACATGTATGTGATCCAGAATCTCACATTCATATGTTGAATTAGGTGGATAGTAGATGACACCTATGTACAAACTTGCCACCGAGCATCTAGCCTTTTTTACGTCGAGTTTCAGCCACATACATTCAAACTCGCAGACATGGTCGGACAATGTATGCACAGATAGATGATCCTTGGCAAAAATAGCAACACCACCTCCTCGCTTGTGCGGACGAGATTTACTGATGGTAGTAAATGTAGGAATGTTAGCTACCTGGATAGTTGCATCGGTGAACCATTTCTCTGTTGCAATTGCAATGTCCACCTTGTTGGAGTGCAGAACCAGTTCAAGTTCCTCCATCTTGTTGTTGAATGATTGTGCATTAGTAAGGAGCATGCGAAGCAACAAGGGTTGCTCTAGAGTTAGAGTCTTTTGTGGGTTTGGTGAGGCTCGAAGCTTAACCAGGTTATGCTCTGAACGGGTGGAGTTGGCATGCAGGACATATTCCCTGCTTGCAGAGCAAACAAGTGGGATCTGTCAACGTATGTGGCAGCCCCCACGGCGGCCACGCCTTGGCTTAAGGAGCCCAAGGTTTTGAAGAATCTCAAGAGAATGACTAGGCAATCTCCTCAGGGTAGATGAGGTGGGTTTAAGGCGAAGTATGGATGTTCTGTCATAATGAAGTCTTCCAACAGAGCCGTTACTACAAACTGTTTCCCCGATAAAAATGCACAGTTATATCATAGAACGCAAGTGTCGGAAATACCACCTTTATCTTCAGTAGTAAAAGAGGCTTGTTATCGAGAGCAAGATGTGGCAGTTTTACCTCATTTTACCTCGTTTTTGAAGATCAATTTGCTGCTCCAGAATATGTAGGGCCGTTAGCTCATCCAGCAAAACAGTTACAGGAAAGATAAAACAGCAAGAACAGCGACCAAAAAAAAATAAAATAATGAAATTCAGACGAGTATAGTTTTGCAGACATGGCAGCAGCTGAACAGCGCCGATCTTCTTCAGGCCTTGACATTTCGTGAAGTAACACTTGATTCAACAACACTTGCAGACGATTCATTTCTTCTTTGTCTATTAAGCCAACAGACTTAAAAAGAACATAGAAAAAATGGTGGTTAAAGTGTGTACAAGTGTATATACAAAACTACAAACACAGATGACTGCAGTTACCGCACATATACTGGGACACAGGCGGCAGTCCTTTTAAAGTGTTGGCTAAACGTTTAAACGCTACCGAAAAATTTTCCAAAATGTTTATTAAATTAAACGTAGATTCACATCCTTAGTACCAAGTTTGAAGCCAATCGGATGAATCAAAATGTTAAATTTTGTAAGCAGAATAAAATTGTAAATATTAAAGAAAAAATAATATTAAAAAATCTACCGATGATGTCATTGTGACGTCATTCCAGACTTTGTGCACTAGTACTATTATCTACCCACCCACTAAGTTTCATGACAATCGGACATTCCCTTATGTGCTTTACAAAATCGCATTTTTGATGATGTCATCATGACGTCACACATTTTTCCAAATTTTGTGCATATACCTATTGCTTAACAAACCTAATACAAAAAGAATTTTGAATCTAGCCTATTGTGTCAGTGAGATATGGTAAAACTCTTTCAAAACTTCAAAAATATTTATAAAATCACAAGATGATGTCATGATGACGTTACCTCAATTTTTATCTATAACACGTCCCGGTCTACCTACGTACAAAGTTTCAACCCAATCAGACTTACCGTTCTGTAGATATTGGGCTTTGAAATATCAACTTTTAAAATGACGTCACGTGAGCCATGATGACGTCATCATGACATCACTTGTTCATACACTACTATGTTGTTGTGTAAGTGTTGTTGAGTCTTGTAGTTTACGCAGTCGGCTGTCGCGGTGATAGAAGGTGAACTGGAAGCCGATGAAGTTCATGAAGGATAAGGGTGCAATGCATAAAGCACTTGCCTGTAAGTGCTGTGGCCCAGTTTGATTTCCAGCTGGGATTTCATGAATTTTTTCCTGTGTCGCAAGGATTTCTCTCTGGCTTCTCTGGTTTTCCACTTTTTGTAAAAATCATCCCTTTGATCTGGCTGTGCTCTGTGGTAAGTCATGGGGTCATATGGTGGCAGACTAAGGCACCCTTAGTTACAATGTACATGTCTTTGGTTCGACCATGTTGTCGTTGCGTCCTTCGCAATTCAGCTTCTGCTGCCAGTGTGAAGGACGATTAACCCAAAATGTATAGATATATTTGTCTTTTATTGATATATATATATATCTTTTATTAAGGTGTTCCTTTATTTTTGCATCAGTACAGATTGGAAATTAAGACAGACATTGTTACTTATTTGCCCTTAAATTATGGATACACGATAATTAGAAAGAGACTGTCAATTACCCCTAAAGTTTATATGCACTGCATCATCCTGCAAGTGAAAGCGACAGTCGATCGACCATCTGCAGCTCTCCAAAAAGTAACTGATGTAACTTTTGTTGAAAAGCATACTTGGTTTAAAGATAATAATGGGCCTAAACTCCCTGTGAAATTATTCTTTTTGGTAAGCTATCATTTTGAAGAAAACAGTGGTTGCTGGAAATTTCTTGTAAAATAGGTTCGTTTTTAATTCAGCAAAGTAGTTTGGCACTCTTTTTAGATTTTCAGCACTTTTGTTGCTTCAAACTTACATAATACACATATTAAAAATGACGGATGGACTGTACCTTTAAGTACTTATGTGGCAAATGTTATACATGCATGACCAAACATGTGAATCTCATGACAGAGGGGAATATACAGCTTGACCCCCCAGACAAACGCAATCCAAAACACTTGCCCTTAAAAATAAAAAAGGATCAGTTAATTTTTCATGTTTTCGGTATCAGATTAAACTGAGAGCTTTTTCTTTTAAATACTGAAAAAAAAATCATGAAAACAGCACTTTGGGTTGCTGAGAAAATGCCAATTATGTAAAAGTAGTCATTTTTCATCCTGTACACACACCAATTCCCACAGTAAGGGATTGTCACAGTAAGGGATTGTCACAGTAAGGGATTGTCACAGTAAGGATTGTCACTGTACCTAATCGTGCATGTCCTAATCCTTTCAAACAACACGGCACACAATATTGCTATAGTTAACTATACAAATGAATTTGATGGATATACCTTTTATTTTCCACCTGAACAGGTACCGTATCTTGTCCTTCTTTTAGTCCTATTCTAAACACTTTCAGCATCATGAATACGTCAAAATACTAAAGAAATTTAAAGAATGATAATTCCACAGTAGGCTTAAAGTTAAATGTTTCACTGTTTGAAGTAGTTGGTGAAAAATGACTACTTTTATATAAATGACATTTTCTCAGCAACCCAAAGTGCTATTTTCATGATTTTTTTTGCAGTATTTGAATGAAAAAGCTCTTATCTTTACCCTGATACCCAAAACATAAAAAAACACAGATAAGGCAGATGTTTTAGGGTGGCTTTTGGGGCGGGACGGGGATGGTTTAACATTGTCAAAATATGTGGTATAAAATATCATCTAATTAAATGACTATTCACATCGACAAGAGCAAGGTCTTACTTTTCCTGCATTTCACTGAGTGCATCCTCAGCCTTCTGAAGCCCTTCCATGTCCCCCAGCATCTGCTTGATGTGGGACTGAGAATATCTATGCTGGACGTAGGCGAACCAACACCCACCGACAGCCACCACCAATGAGACTAACAGTGTTGTGTCTTTCAGGTAGCTGTGGGTAGCTGTAACGGTAAAACATGAAACACTGATGGTCAATGTAAACTGTTAGGTGTCTTACATACAATGTAATTCTACCTCAAACTTTGGTGGTGTGAGATTTTGTAGATTCACAAGGGTGCCTGAAGAATGAAGGTTAGGTTCTACTTACAAGCCTTCAGGTCTTTTCTTGTTATAGCAAAACATAAACATCCTTTTTTTCAGGTGGAAGATATGGTTTGACAGCTGTTTATTATTAAAATATGAAAACGGTAAATATAATTTTGGCTTTTTGATTAATGACATGTTTTTCTGTTATAGAGAATGGACGAGGAACTGAACGAATCTTCAGTTCCGAGTCTATTCTCTGACTTAACCTATTTCTTAAAACAACAACAGTTTATGCAAATAAGATCCCTGGTTTACCACACTTGTGAATAAGTGTATTCATACAATCTAGTCAACTTTGCCTGGCCCTGCGCTTGCATCCTAACAAGGTCCTATTGTTAACCCTTCGGATGGGTGCACATCTTTTGTTCCATTCATCAATTGCACAGTACATTTGTCCTCATGGTAAGTCACACACACATTCACGATCAGAAGTGTTTAGTGCGAATACACTGTCTTTCCTTACTCCCAAAGCCAAATGGAGATTTCGCACTTGTATGTTACAGCTTGAGGATTATACCGGAAAATTCTTTGATGCTGTTTTTTTACGGGATTGATGTGAGGAGTTCAATCACCAGGCACAAGAAAAAGTTGGGAAGCAACTCATTTGTGCATAGAGCTTTTTGATTTGTGGAACCATATGTCATTGGCCATTCAATGGGAACCACATTTCTTTACCTTGATATCATGATATTTGTGGAGTAGGCTACACATCGGAATATGCCCATCTCACTCACCATCTCACTCACCAATTTTGCTTGGAAAATACGTTACATTGGAATATACTCTGAGACGTTTATGAGTTTCATTTGATTTCGTTAGTTAATCGTCCATTCTATTTATGATTGTCATTTTGATAACAAAAGATGTGCACATATTCTTTAACTGAAGGGTATCCACTGATTTTCTTATAATGCAAATTTGAAGACAAAAAAATAAAAATTGAATTTTTAGCATCAATAAAATTTCAGCATTAACATATAGATAATAATATAAAAATACAAAAATAAGACTTAAGATAAAAATAAAGGGAACTGCAAATAACATAAAAAAGGAATATTTTACACTGCGCTTTAGGTTAAAATTTATAATTTATTAAAAATATCGGCACGGCAAATTAAAAGTCAAACGAGAACATTTTGTGTAAAAATTTAAAAAAATTAAAGTAGTACATGTAGGGTATTTATCAAAATCAGGTACACGTCAAATTCTTTCGAAAATTGTTGAGTACCATTGACATTTCTTTTTCTTTTCATTATAATGGACTGAAACTTAAAAAAAAAAGAAATTGTTAGTGCCGGAATATACATGGAATTGTTCACAACAAAAACTGTGGATTCTTAAAATAATCTACAGTTAGGTGTAGATTCTCAAAATAATCTACAGTAAAGTGTAGATTCGAGAAAATAATCTACACTTTTAACAATAGTGTGACGTCACAGAAATAGGTTAATTGATGTTGAATGTAAACTACATAAAAAAGTTATGGGCAAAAAAACATAAAAAGACCGACAAAATGATGAAAAATATTCAATAAATATTCTAATCAGTAGTGAAAAACATTTCTTTAAGATTATATGCTGATTTTCATTAACAAGATGTGTGAATTCAATGAATAATTTATAAACAGCTCATACACAGAACAACTAAACAAGTGGTCAACATAAAAAATTGTAGCTAGCCAAATGTGGAAAAGTCAATCTGGAGAGTAATTTTCACGGCATTTTTTTGGGTAATGGCTGGCATCCATGCTAAATCAATTTTTTGAATCATAACAAACAAGATGTGGGTG